ACACTATGGGTTGCATTGTGTTCTCCCAAAGGCGTGTTGACATCCTAACCCCTAGGACCTCAGAATGGGGCCTTATAGGAAACAGGATTCTGTAGAGTAAAGTGGGACCTTAATTTAATATGACTGGTGTCCTTTTACGAAGACACACACACACACACACACACACACACACACGAAGCCGAGATTGGAGCGCTGCATGCAGTTTCAAGCCAAGGAGCATGAGGACTACTGGCCTCCACCAGAAGCTAGGAAGTTCCAAGGAAGCTTCTCCTCACTGGTTTCAGAGGAAGCATAGTTCTGCAGACACTTCGATTTTGGACTTTCCAACCTCCAGAATTCTGAGACTGTTTTCTGTTGTGTTAAGCCACCCAGTTTGTGGTACTTTGTTACTTTGGGAAGCTAAAACAGTTGAAAACCAGAGTAGACTTCTCACCACATTATTTATTAGTGTAAGCTATTTTGATCTGTTTCTTGCTAGTATTAAAGTTTTCCTTGAATTTTAAAGAAACTACTTTGCCAGTTAAAACTGTAAACTATAAGATGTCCTGAAGGATGATGGCTACTCAAAGAGCATTTATGGGACAAAGATTCTATAATTCAAATGCAATTGGGGGGTACAACCTGTGTTTGATCATTTCTCTGTGCTTTAGAATAAATTAAATTTAGTGTATATTTCTAAATTTATTCTTAGTGTTCATATGAATTCATTAAATTTTCAATATTTACCAGGCTGTTTAAACCTTGTAAACCAGGGTTCTTATTATAATTCCTGCACTGAAATTGCATATGCTAATTGTCATTATTTAAAATATAAGTTGAAGTTTTGTTTTCCATATGAGAGTCAACAGGTCCTTCTTGTTTAGCAATAAAATATAGCTGAACATTGATACTTACAGCTTTTTCTGTCTTATACAGGTTACCATTCAACTCTGATAATTTGCTTCAATCTTTCTTTCCCTCTAATTTTTTCCTCAAAAAAGAAAAGAATAAAGACTATTTGAAAAATTACTTTTTTTTATCTTTGATCTCTATTTTTAAGAGTTAAATGTAAAGTGGTAGATTTGATGGTAGAAGTTAAACACCGAAGGAGTTTATGAATAAAAACTATTGTTTGACAATTATCCTGACTCTACTCGGATGTTTTTGTTTGTGATTGCAGAAAGACACAATTATTTGTTTAAAACAAATCATCAGAGCTGACATTACACCATACAAGATGAATTATACATTCAGATAAGTGGACAGACAAGATGCATATGAAAAGCCTGGGGATTTTGGGTCTACTTTTAAAACACTATTTTGAAGACTGACAGATTCAGCTCTAAACTGTCTCAGCTGTCATTTTTACTTTGCCATGTGAGGCTTATCGTGACAAAACTCAGACTTTACGTTACTGGCATACTCCTTCACTAGGTAAGAACTCACCATGATTTTGGAATGGCAACTGGCAATTTCATTACACCAAACATCCACAGTGATAGCTAACAAAATTTATATTTCCATTCCCTTAGGGCTTTTTAGACCCTAAAAATAATAAATATATTCAAAATGATTACCAATTGAAAAGCATTCTAAAATTCTATATTCATACTTGACTTTGGAGACCAATTGGTTAAATCCTGTACTTTTATTGTTTTTTCTTTTCCTTGAAAACTTAGAGTAGCCATAATGTAAAAAAGGGAGTAATTTCAGAGGGGAAATGTTGGCCTGTTTAGAGATAGCCTGAGCCTCTGCCATACCTAATTTCTTAACCTTCCAAATCCAACTCAAGCATCACTTTACCTGTGTCTGCCTGTGTGTCAACACTGATGATGCTCTGGTGAATGTTGGCTCACTGCCTCTGACCAGCTCAGCTGCTAGGCTTCTGCAGGCAGATTCAGTGTCCTATTTGTCTTTCCATTCCTGGGACATATCAAGTAGTTAGTGCAGAGAAGGCATCTAATAAAGTCACAGTCACATCTTAAAACTATATGTCAAATGCATAACATGGTTATGTAATCATGGATGCGAAAGCACAGCAAGCTGAAAAGACAAGCACCAGAACACACTGGAAAGGCTGCTTAGAGTTCACGCCCAGGGGACTGAGCTTCCTCAAGATGGACTTTTCTCAGACAGCATACCCTTTATCTTAAAAACAAGCCATCATACACATTTTAAAATGTACATTTGTTTACTAGTCTTCCCATTTTATATATATCTATGTTTGCCCATGCGTGTGTAAGTTTAATATATTATTAGCATTTTTTTCTAATGAAGTTCTTTTTACTGATGAACTCTTAGGAAATAGTAATGCCCCCCTAAAATGCATTGTGAAATGCTGAGCCCCAGGGCTGAAAATGACACCAGGCTTTCTTCTGAGTACATGAAGATGAAGTTTACAGTGCTTTATTCTTTTCAGTTCTGTAAGTTTGAAAATATATTCTGTTAGATTGAAACAGAGTTTGAAGAGCAAAGCATGCACTAGTACAACTTCAGAGCAAAATTCTTAATTAGGAGATAGATTTAAATGGTCCTGAAGGAGTACGAAAGAGAATAAATTCACACCCTTATTGGAATAGAAATTCTACTCAAATTTAATTAAAATGCATTCCTGTCATGTTTTTCCTACCGGAGGGGAAATGTTCCATTTCTGTCTATTCTGCAGGGGGAGGCCAAGGACCTGAGACGGAACGGCCCTCGGCTACAGGAGTGGAGCAGGGCAGCTCCTGGAGGATTCTCAGCAGGTGTGTGTGGAGGCTGCAACGTGTAGGTCACAGCCTGGCTCCAGAGCCCGCCTCTTCTAATTTCAGATTCTCATTCTGCCACCGGATAGCTGGGTGACTGAGCAAGTTACCTGACTTCCCTGAGCTTCAGTTCTGCTTCTGTAAAAATTAGTTGAAACCTCACAGAATTGCTGTGGGTGTTATTTAAAGGATAACGTTTATTACATAGTGAATCTTTGTTGTATTTATTTTACCATGTTTGAGAAATTAGAAATAAAATCCTCCCAGAGGATATACATTCCTACTCTTCTTATTCTCCGTGTGATAGTCTCTTTGATTATTTCTTCTTTGTTTCTGCCACCAATTTCATTTCTCATCACTTCATAGAAATGAACTCCCTAATCAACTCTAGGCCTTCTGTTTTAGAAACTTCACATTTTTGGATGGGGGTTCCAAGTATAAAAAAAAAGTTAAATTTACATCTGTAGTGTTGACTTTTCTCTGGAGTTCCATATTTCTTGCAGTGGGAAAAATAGCAATGCTTGAATTTCTTGTCATTAATGAAAACTTGGTGGACACCTGCATCATCTCTAGCTTTGCTGTTTTCCATCTGCCCTCTGCCTTTGGACAACTGGAATCAGCTGTGAGTTCTTTGGGACCAGGAACCCTGTTGCTTTCATCTCCGTCCGTATGACCTGAGCACAGTGCAGGACAGGTGGTCAGTAAATGGTTGGCAAGTAAGTGAGTGAATGAATGAAGAATGGAGAGTTTTCCTGATTGAAAAGGGTAATAACAATGGAAAAAGAAGGAACATAAAAGTTAGAATAAAAGATATCACTAATCATTTTCCTCTTTAGCTAAAAAAATAATTGTTTGGAAATGCCAACTTTTCAATTCTATTAATAACGAACTTATCCCCAGTGCCTGCTACTCAGTCTGTGACATAGCTACCCCTCAGATATTTCATGTCGGTGGGTCATTATGAGGGTTTCCTGAGACAACCTCAAGAAATAAAAATATAGGATTTACCTACTCCAAAAATTCCAAATACCCAATAAGTTTGCATCTAAAGGGACACAAGAATATACATGCTCACTCACTGACACAAACACAAACACACACATGCAGCCACACACTCATCCATCCCATTATGATGCTCTCCCTCCCAGCCAACCACAATAAGAGTAAATACCTCTCTGCTCTAAAACAATGAAATATGCGGTAGTAAAAATCAGCTTTTAAAATATAAATCTCAGAAATTTTCAAGTCATGTCCTTAGTGGGTTCTAAGAAAATAAAAAAAACAGCCTAAATATAAAGTGCTCTAAGACCAAGTTTAAGTGTGTGTAATTTGAGTACATGTAAATTAAATGTTTGTAAATATTCTATGTAAATTGAGTATATGTAAATTTAAGGTTAATATGTATACATGTAAATTGTAGCTACCTCTGTGACAGCATTTCAGTTGGTGTAATTCAGTAACTTTAATGACATTGATTGAATCCTTAATCTCTTCTAGAACCTTTCCCACTTACTAGATTGCCCTTATAAGAGTGTAATCAAACAAGTGCTAGAGAAATAATTTATACACTTTTCAGTGCATTGAGTCTCAAAATAAGAGGAAATGATGCCATGGCTTAAATTCTGCTACCAAGGACTGAATGAGAGAGCTAAGTATATTCAACTAATCTTAAATTCATACAGTTATAAAAATAATCATCATCATTGGTAAATTGCACAACTGTTAGCACATCTCTGCTGCATCAGAGTAACTGAAACATGAAACTACACTCTCTCACTTTAATTTTTTTCAGAAAATTTGATTTATCCGAAGGGAAGTATATTCTTCATGTGTCATAAAACAGTGTAGAATTTCCTGTTTCATACACACATCAATAGAAATCAAGTTCCTTTTTAAAATAAAATAAATCTCTATATTTTCTTGGAAAAGTATCATTTAAAGTTTACTGTTCTAGAGGAGAATATTTTGATAACAAAAATTCATAGCAGACAAACCAGACATAAAACTGGTATTTTCCTCTTTCGTGATTAGGAGTGTTTGAGGAGCACTCCTGAAACTGATCAAAAGCTCCTAGCAATTGTGACATTTTGGGGTGGGAGGTTCTTTTTCTTTTCTTGTATTGAAGTGTAGATGACATACAAAATCATATTAGTTTCAGGTATACAACATAGTGATTCAACATTTATATATATTACAAACAGATCATATCTTAAGTCTAGTAACCATCTGTCACAATACAAAGTTATTACAATATTATTGACGCTGTAGGCTAGGCTGTGCATTGCATCCCCCTGACAATTTATTTTATAACTGGAAGTTTGTACCAAATGACAGAGATGATTGGCTAAAATAACATACTCTTTAAATGAAAAAATAATTTTTTTGCCACGTCTTTTTCTGCTTTGTGTTTTTGCAGGATCTTGGTTGAGACTTCATATTCCTCTTTAAACTCACAGGATACCTACGGTAAACAATAAGACGTATAGGTTTAAAGTCAAAATTCATTTGAGTGTGTTTTCTGATTTCTTAACTGCACCTGAAAGATTAAATTCTTTTCTGAAAGGAAAAGGGAACGCGTTTGCAAAAATTAATTTCCTCTGGGAAAAGTGGGGTTTTCAGAACAATTTTAATGTTTTTTTTTATTTTTCTTTGGTTTATAACTTGTGACTTAATTTTTATTCACACTTTATATTCCTATTTGCATGACAATGAGATGCTCTGTCATTTTTAAACACCTCTTTATCATCTGAATTGCTGAAGGAGGAACACTAAGAGGTAAAACAGAGTGAGGATTTTTAAATCTCATGTTGGATCAACTTCCCTAATCCTCCAATATTCAGCACTAATTAGCATGGCAGACAACCATCTTCCTTGTGGAAGGTTTGGAATGCATATTTTATAACAATTTTCAGATTTTCATGGCAGCTCAATAATGCCAACTCGTATTTTTTTTTTAATGGGATCACTTCTGTAATGGAAGTCTGGGCCTTCAATGATAAGAATTATCATCCGAAATTTCTCCTAACAGAATCAACATTTGCGTGGCTGACCTGTGTTCCAAACACTCTCCTCTCACTTCTGATCCAGCAGCTTAGTCTAAGGCACTGCCGAGCATTGGCTGAACCAAGATTATTTTGCAAAAAAGTGATAAAGACTTCTGGTAAAGTCAGGGAAACTTCCCTTCCAAAAATCACAGGACAAAAATAAAGCTCCAAAACCAACTTTTTTTCCTTTTCAGTGAGTCTATTTGCAAAATATTCCTGAGGATGTTTTGAGGAGGTTGGTTCTGTGGGATAATGAGGAGGAAGCTGGTTCATAAAAAACCCTTGTTCCTTGGTTTTAAATATGCTGGTAGCAGATGGCGAAGTCCTAGATGCCAGGCCTCCACCAAGCACTGTCCACACGTTACCTTCCTGGGTTATTTCACATAGCACACTGAGAAAGGGAGATTTATTAGCCTTTTTTTTTTTTTAAGAGAATGAAACTGAGTCACAGGTTCTTAATTTAAGAGAGTCAGGTCAAATACAAAACCTCAACATTTAGAATCTCTTGACCTTACTCAACAGTGGACAGTGGAGGGAAACCTTCAAATTTTGGCAAGACAAATATTTCCTACTTAGAGTATATACCCGGGCAAAGCATGCATTAAGCAAGGGTACAATAAGGACGTTTTCAAACAAGAAAGATCTCAAAAAAAAAAACAAAAAAAACTAACAAAAACTGTAACATTTCTTAAGACGCTGTGGCTAACAAACGAGTAAAGTGAAAATGGAAAGGACAAAGGAAACTTACAAGTTGCAGGGAACGGAAGATGACAAATGGTAAGAAGCGCTTTCTCCACTCCTCTTGAATCCGTACTGGCCTGTAACTTTCTTGGGACAATGAAACAGCAGCAAAAGTGACATAAACAGAAGCGTAAAAGCGCTTGCGTTTTAGAGCTTCCTCATTACTGCTCCTGAGAGCTCTCTGCACTGCGTGGACAAGCTTGAGCTTGCCCGAGGAATGATGAAAACAACCACATGGCCCGGTCACGCCCCCGGTGAACGTGCCCAGCGGATTAACCCCAGTAAGGGAGATCCCTTGCTGGATACCATTGAGACCGAGGATTGAGTGCAACCGAGACACACACACAAAAAAAAAAATTCCCTGGGCTGATCCCGGTCTAACCTGCTGATCCACAAAAATTAGAAGTCAAATAAATGGTGATTGTTTTAAGCAACTGACTTTTGGGGTCGTTTTTATGCTGTGAGACACACTGATGATGAAATTGGAAGCTACATGTGGGCGGTTAAAGTATGTGGCTTTGGCTTTGGGACTAGGCAGAAGCTGGAGAAACAATGAAGAAGCTGGCTGCAAATTCAGAAAAGTTTGCAAATTTGGAAAAACTTGAATTACATGTAGGAGAACAGCAACGGACAAAATAAACACCTGCAGCAACTTGGAAGAGAGGAAGTACGGAATGAACTTGCATTTCTTTTATGATACATGTGGGAAGAGGGAGCTGAGTTAAAGAAAGACTTGTATAGTTCTAAAGCAGAATTTAGAGGAAATTTAAAAGGCTCAGGACTGAACGAGTTAGAAAATAAAACTTTTTCACATTCCACCTCTCCATGCAGTAAAATTCTTAATGGTAAAGATCAAATCAAGAGTATGGCTATAAAAAAATTGTTAAGATCTATAAAAGATTTAGGGTAGTGTCTAGAAACACCTTTCAACGAGGTAAAAAGTTTTCTAAGAAACTTAAAGACATATTTTAAGGGTTTTATCCAAGCAAAAGAGCCTCCGGTTCCACTTAAAGCGGCTGAGATTGTTCAAACTGCAGGAGGGCCTCTAGACTCACAAAATAGGTTTAGAACTCTGCCTGCATTAGTTCTTCCTCTCTGTCACATTTCTCCCTGTGTCAGATGATGATGACTCTCGAGAGAAGATGCTAGTCTATGAGGAAGCTGAGCTGGGGACACAGTAAGTTGGGTCTCAGTGGCGTTTGTTTAGGTAGTTCACAGACACTTGTGAGTCCTGTTAAATTACTGTGTTGTCCCAGATAGAAGTAACTTCCAGTGCTTTTCCCCTTGTGCCTGACGCGTTCTGATCCCACATCACCTTACTGTCTTTCTCCTTCAAACGCCCTCTCCCTGACCCTGCACCCGTAATGGCATTCTCTTTCCTCTTCTCTTGCTTTATTTTTCATCATCAAGCCTGTCTCTCATAAAGTAC